ATGGCTACGTGATACAAAAGTAAATACAAATACACAAAAATAAGTCCTGCGCTCAAACATCCACTACTCCTGGGCTGCAGCAATGACCATAGCTCACATCAGCCCCAATACATACACCTTGACATGGCAGTTGGGCTTGCATCTAATGGCCATTGGAGTTACTAAATAACCTCCATTTATTTAAATTTATGCATAATATGCATAAAAAAAACTTGGTACAAACTAGAACAAGATTTTATAAAGGTTAAATTGGAGACCCTACTATGGCAGAATTGTAAATTAAATGTATTATCTCCTTCTAATCACCCAATTTTAAATCATATAATACAGATTTGGAGAAGGCTTAAAGATAGATGGAGGCTATCTCCGGGACTATCTGTATTTTTTCCAATTGCATCAAACTTGGAGTTCCACCATGGGATGAGCCACAAAATACTGGGAACATTAACGGGAGAAGCAGACCCGCCAGTAACAAGTTTAATAACAGACGGTACACCCACTAGATTAACCCCTTAATGCCGTTACGGCGTTCTATGCCGTTGCGGCTTTAAAGGGCTTTAAGGCCGTTGGGACGGCATAGAACGCCGTAACGGCTTTCTGCCCCAGGGGATCACAGCTACTTACCTCCGCTGCGATCCTCTTCTGGAGGGCTGCCTGACCGCCCAGGCAGCCCTCCCCCGGCGAATGAGGCCCCCGGGGGCCATGTGATCGCTCTCAAAGAGCGATCACATGGCCCCCTATAGCTGGCTATGGATCTGCCAGCAGGGGGACTGTCTGAAATATCAGACAGTCCCCCTGCTGGTGGGAAATGTAAAAAAATTAAATTAGACCTGTTTTAAAATAAATTAAATACATATAATATATGTGTATATATGTATTATATATATAATATATATACATATATATATATATATAACGTCATAAGTATATATATTAGTATTAAAATACACTTAGAATGACGTTACATATATATAATATGTATATATAATAGATATATAATAGATATATACACATATATTATAAATATATATACGTATAATTACATTCATAAATAAATAAAATAAATAAAATATTGAAACAAAATTTTATTAAAATTATATATTCATATGTAATTTCATTCTAACTGTATTTTGTTATTAATATATATATATATTGGTAACAAAATACACTTAGAATGACATTCTATATATATCTATCTATATATAAAATACAAATAACCGCAAATATATATATATATATATATATATATATATATATATATATAGATAAATACATATAATTAAAAGATTACATTAGTATACACGTAGAATTTAAATACCTATAAATGCATATATATTAAAATTCTAAGTGTATATTTAAGTAATCTTTTAACATAATTATGTGATTTGATTAATTCAAATTTGGTTGACATGCCTGACAACACAGAGAGAAAGTGCAGAGATTACAAATATGGGCATTTTTTTGCAGTAATACCTAACAGTATTATGACATTCACAGCTAAAATGTCAGATGGAAATACAAATTTTTTAAAAAAAATCTTATTTTCTAAAAAAAAATTGTAATTTTTATTCATAATAAATGATGTTCCATATATGAAAAGTTAATGATAAATTAAAGCCCTGTTTCTCCTGAACAAAATTATATATAATAAGTGTGGCTGCACTTAATGTGACAGCTGTGAATTACGGGTGAACAGACATATAGCGCAAATTCCAGTTTTTGTTTACGTTTTGATCAGAACGTGTACTATTGACTCCGTCCTGGAGCGGTTAAGAGAGTTTTCTAGCTGCGACAATACGACAACACTTCTAGATAAAATGGGTATGGTTTATTTAAAGTTTTTTTAAACCAAAAAGTGTTACCATACTGGCAGACAAGAGATAAAACTGAGTTTGAGTTACTCTGTGGTACCGGGATAGATAAAAAACGATATCTGTTTAGTATCTATAACCTAATTCAGAGGGGTTCTATGGATAAGATAGTACCCTCATTTCAGTTGAAATGGATGCTAGGATTGAACATCCAATTGACTGGCACTGACTGGTCATTTGTGTTCAAAATGGGAATGAAAGCCCAGGTAAGCACTGCTAGGAAAATGATTTTCTTTAAAAGAATTACTAGACGGTATAATACCCCAGATCGAATTAAGAAATATGGTGTATCCGCATTGGATGAATGCTGGAGATGTGGGGAGAAGGGAGCAAACATGGAACACATCTGGTGGGAGTGTAAACTTATTGGGAACTACTGGATCATCAAGATTTTACCAATGTCAGATCAACTATCCCCATCTAAGATCTTACAGGGCTGGCCAGCTTCTTTCAATGAGAACAACAAACAGATATTGTTAAGTTTCTTATTGAATGAGGCAAATGCTCATTTGATCCCACTGTATTGACTTAAACCTAGCATCCCGACTGTAAAACAATGGATTCTTAGAGTGGAATCATTAAGGGAACTAGAAGAGATTCATTGGACTACCCAGGGAAAAAGAGATCAATATGTTAAGAAATGGGACCCTTGGATAACGTTCTGGGCAGGACTCTCATAATAAGACTATTTTATGATGAACTGACGATGAGCAAATAAAATACTAATGTAAAATAGAACATTAATGTTAGAAATAGAGGCAGAGCTATATTCTTCTTCTTTTTTTCCTCTTTCTCTCTTTTCCTTTTTTTTTTAAATTTTTTGTTTTGCTGAGATGCACATGATGATGTGGGAACTTGATAATGCTATTTGGTTATGGCGTAAAGTAGTCCCAATATCTGATGATAAGAAAAAAAAAAGAGAAAAGGGAAAGAGAAAAACAAAGAAAGGGAGGAAAAAAAATAAATAAAAATAAATATGCATAAGGATTTGGAATAGTGTGCGACTAACTTTTTAATTTTTTTTTATTTTATTGTATTTCTTGGGGCTGATGTGAGCTATGGTCGTTGCTGCTGTCCAGGAGTAGTGGGAGTTTGAATGCAGGACGTATTTTTGTGTATTTTTCTTAATGATTATACTCACCAGAACAACTACATTAAAGGGACACTATAGTCACCTAAATAACTATAGCTTAAAACACCAGTTTTGGTGTATAAATCATGTCCCTTTAGTCTCACTGCTCAATTCTCTGCCATTAAGAAGTTACCGTATATACTCGAGTATAAGCCGACCCGAATATAAGCCGAGGCCCCCTAATTTTACCCAAAAAAACTGGGAAAACTTATTGACTCGAGTATAAGACTAGGGTGGGAAATGCAGCTACTGGTAAATTACTAAATAAAATTAGATCCTAAAAAAATTATATTAATTGAATATTTATTTACAGAGTGTGTATATAATGAATGCAGTGTGTGTGTATGAGTGCAGTGTGTGTGTGTGTATGAATGCAGTGTGTGTGTGTGTGTGTGTATGAATGCAGTGTGTGTGTGTATGAGTGCAGTGTGTGTGTGTGTATGAATGCAGTGTGTGTATGAATGCAGTGTGTGTGTGTGTGTGTATGTGTATGAGTGCAGTGTGTGTATGAATGCAGTGTGTGTGTGTGTGTATGAATGCAGTGTGTGTGTGTGTGTGTGTGTTGCAGAGCCTTGGTGGGCATTTTTATTATTTTTTTAAAATTATTTTAATATTTTTTTTGTTTTATTAATATTTTGTTATTATTTTTATTTTATTATTATTTTTAATATTATTTTATTATTTTATTTATTTATTTTTTGTCCCCCCTCCCTGCTTGATACATGGCAGGGAGGGGGGCTCTCCTTCCCTGGTGGTCCAGTGGCATTGGCAGTTCAGTGGGAGGAGGAGGGGGGCTGGCAGAGCTGTTACTTACCTCTCCTGCAGCTCCTGTCAGCTCTCTCCTCCTCCGCGCCGGTCCGTGCAGCTCCTCTCTCAGCTCCCACTGTAAGCCTCGCGAGAGCCGCACTATTACCCCGCGGCTCTCGCGAGACTTACACTGGGAGCTGACCGAGGTGCTGACCGGACCGGCGCGGAGGAGGAGGGAGCTGACAGGAGCTGCAGGAGAGGTAAGCGCTCGCTGCCAGCCCCCAGTCTGTATTATGGCAATGTTAAATTGCCATAATACAGACACTGACTCGAGTATAAGCCGAGTTGGGGTTTTTCAGCACAAAAAATGTGCTGAAAAACTCGGCTTATACTCGAGTATATACGGTAAATCACTTTTGTTTCTGTTTCTGCAGCCCTAGTCACACCTCCCTCCATGTGACTTGCACAGTCTTCCTAAACACTGTAAAGTGAGAGCTTTATATGTTTATACTTCCTTTATTGGAAAATTCTGTTTAATTTAGAGTTTCTTACTCCCTGCTCTGTTAATAGCTTGCTAGACCCTGCAGGATCACCCTATATGTAATTAATGTTCAATTTACAGAGCAGGAGATAAAAACTATTAAAGTTACATCTTATTGAAAGTAAAACCATTTTGTTTTCATGCAGACTGTTTCAGTCACAGCCAGGGGAGGTGCACAGGTAAACAGGTACAAAGTAATTTAACTGCTAAATGGCAGTGAATTGAGCGGTAAAACTTCACAGGCATGATCTATCCACTAAAACTGCCTCATTAAGCTAAAGTTGTTTTGGTGACTATAGTGTTCCTTTAAGCTGGGGTTTAATAAAGTGGGGCTTGATAAATTGTATATTGTTATTCATAAATAGCAACAAGTAGATATCAGTCCTTAACAACAATATACGAATCAAAAATAAAATAAGAAATCCAACAATGCCCACAATTGTCCACTAGCTGTCACTGTTCTCATACAAGAAAAAATATTACCTGAAAAAAAAAAAAAACTTTCTCCTAATTGTACAGAAAAAAAGGTGAAGTAAGTAGAAAAAAAAATGGACTAATAAATGAATAAACAGTGAACACACAATCCCTCAAAACTAACTCCACTGTTTTTCTGCAGTGACCATCAGAAATGTGCGTGAGAGAAAATCACAATAAATAAAGTGATTCTTTGCCGAAAATGTTTGCTGAGGCTACCCAGACACACAGAAAGCACCTAATGCACATTGCACCTGGCTGACATCACCGCGATCCTCCGCAGTGCAACTAGAGATTGAGTGTGTTCACTGTGTATTCATTTATTAATACAATGTTTTTTATATTTATCTGAGTGTTTGTATGTGTATTTATCTGTATGTGTGTCAGTCTGTGCCCCTGTATCTCTGTGTATGTGTGTCAGTATCTGTATGAGTGTTATTCTGTGTGTATGTGTATCTGCATGTAATGTCGGTATGTGCATCTTTGTGTCAGTAAGTTTGTTTGTGTTTGTATCTGTATGTGTGTTATTGTGTTTCTGCATATTTGTCAGTGAGCACGTGTCTGTGTATCTATGTATTTGCTTGTGTATCTGTCTTTGTATGTCTGTAGCTGTGTGTGCATCTGTATGTGTGTCAGTGTGTGATTTTGTCTCAGTGAAAAATTAGAGCAGCCCTCCCCCCCACCCCCACACACACATTTCTGATGATGTGACCCATTGCAGAAAAAACTCGGACACCCCTGTCCCAGGGAGTTTTGAGGGATTGTGTGTTCATTCACATTTTTTTTTTCCCCCAGCGATTTTGTATCTTGTGGGAAAAAAGTGACACCTAGCCGCCAAGTGTTGGCAGTTTTGGAATTGTTTTTATCACGTTGATAAGGATTGATACCTATTGTTGCAACTTATGAACAACAATATACAATATTATATATATATATATATTTGTATCCATCCCCCACTTTAACACTCACAGATTTCGCTTTTCACTGCCCCATGCTACAAATGGCAGGAACTCTGCAGGCTGCCACATAAACTAATATTGATAATTTATTTATCAAATGAATACTAAAACTTTATGCAAATGATCATAATATACTTTGTAAAGTGTTAAACTCTTATACATGTAGAGGAATTTGAATCAATTAGTGATTATTGATTTATTCCCATATTCAATTGAAATACATTAAGTTGTAATTAATTGTCTATTTAATATTAGTATGTTCCATAATATTTCAATTACTACATGACTTTAAAGATTTGGAAATGATTTATTTATTTATAAAATATTTTACCAGGATGGATACATTGAGATTTCTCTCGTTTTGATGTCCAGGGTCCACAAAACATTGCATTGTTACAATAGGATACAATATTAAAAAATACACTATACAAACACTATATATACATACACACATATATAAATTTAATACATAACAGGTAATAAATATATTCAACCTTGACAGGTGCATTCTGTGCTGAGGTATCTTGCCATAGATCTCTTAAAAGATTTTAATTTGAATGAAGATTTGACTGTGTCCCTGAGGTTATTCCATAATTGTGGTGCTCTGTGGGAAAAGGAGGATCGAGCCACTTTATTTTTGTATTGCGGTATGCTAAATATCGTGCTAGTACTGGTTCGGAGGTTATAGGAGGTGGGAACAGCCGGGGAGAGCATTCTACTCAGGTAGGGTGGGAGCTTCCCAGAAAAGCTCTTATGCACAAGGCTGGAAAGATGAAGATTAGCTAAATGTCTGAAATTTTAAATCCTTGTGGAATCTCTAATCATAATCTAAATATTTTATTATTATTATTATTATTTTTATTATTTTATTATTATTATTAATTATTATTTAATTATTATTATTTTATTATTATTGTTATTTTATTATTATTATTTATTATTATTATTAATTATTATTTAATTAGTATTATTTTATTATTATTGTTATTTTATTATTATTATTTATTATTATTATTAATTATTATTTAATTAGTATTATTTTATTATTATTGTTAAGTGTAAAAAGCTATTGTTTCTGTTTCTAATTAAAATCCATAAAGGTTATTTATATTAAAATAAAAAATAAATCAATAAAAATGGTGTCCTCTTGGTCTTGTCGTTGACCCGTTTATAATTACATTTTCTGTGCTTTCCTATGAAGTATTAGCAAGCTGAGGTTGCGTTCTAATAAGACTTGCTAAGTTTGGACTGCTCAGCTCCCGTACTCTGGCCGAGATTCCGCGCATGCGCAGTGCTATCACTAGAGCTCGCAGTACCGTGATCCCTCGCGCATGCGCAGTGGCAGTGTGGCGGTCCGCAGTGTGGTTCCGGTAGCTGGATTCGGTAGCTGGTTCCGGGCTTGCTGTCAGTCGGGAAGATGTCGGGCGGTCCGGCCGTGCGGATCAGTATCGAGTCGTCGTGCGAGAAGCAGGTCCAGGAGGTGGGGCTGGATGGGTCCGAGACCTATGTGCAGCCTCTGTCCATGTCCCAGAACCTGGCCCGCCTGGCACAGCGCATCGACTTCAGCCAGGACTCCGGGGACGAGGAGGGGGCGGCGGGCGGCTCCCGGGAGCACGACTGGGGCGAGCAGGAGGAAGAGGAGGGTGAGTGGGGATGGGGAACATGGGGAGCCTGGGGAACACGGGGAGCCTGGGGAACACGGGGAGCCTGGGGAACACGGGGAGCCTGGGGAACACGGGGAGCCTTGGAACAAGGGGAACATGGGGAGCCTGGGGAACACGGGAAACACGGGGAGCCTGGGGAACACGGGAAACACGGGAAACACGGGGAGCCTGGGGAACACGGGAAACACGGGGAGCCTGGGGAACACGGGGAGCCTGGGGAGCCTGGGGGACATGGCGAGCCTGGGGAACATGGAGAACACGGGGAGCCTGGGGAACACGGGGAGCCTGGGGAACACGGGGAACATGGCTTCATTCATCCATAGCCATCACAATACTGGGATACAGACTGACTGGCCGCCAGTAATACAGACTGACTGGCCGCCAGTAATACAGACTGACTGGCCGCCAGTAATACAGACTGACTGGCAGCCAGTAATACAGACTGACTGGCCGCCAGTAATACAGACTGACTGGCCGCCAGTAATACAGACTGACTGGCCGCCAGTAATACAGACTGACTGGCCGCCAGTAATACAGACTGACTGGCCGCCAGTAATACAGACTGACTGGCCGCCAGTAATACAGACTGACTGGCCGCCAGTAATACAGACTGACTGGCCGCCAGTAATACAGACTGACTGGCCGCCAGTCATACTCACTAGCCATCAGTGATAGAGACCAGCCACCAGTCATACTCACTAGTCTGAAGTCATTCACACTCTCCATCAGTCATACAGATTGGTCACAAGTCATTCACACTCTCCATCAGTCATACAGACTGGCCACAAGTCATTCACGCTCTCCATCTGTCATACAGATTGGCCACAAGTCATTCACGCTCTCCATCAGTCATACAGACTGGCCACAAGTCATTCACGCTCTCCATCTGTCATACAGACTGGCCACAAGTCATTCACGCTCTCCATCTGTAATACAGACTGGCCACAAGTCATTCACGCTCTCCATCTGTAATACAGACTGGCCACAAGTCATTCACGCTCTCCATCTGTAATACAGACTGGCCGCAAGTCATTCACGCTCTCCATCTGTAATACAGACTGGCCGCAAGTCATTCACGCTCTCCATCTGTAATACAGACTGGCCGCAAGTCATTCACGCTCTCCATCTGTAATACAGACTGGCCGCAAGTCATTCACGCTCTCCATCTGTAATACAGACTGACAGCAAGTCATTCACGCTCTCCATCTGTAATACAGACTGGCCGCAAGTCATTCACGCTCTCCATCTGTAATACAGACTGGCCGCAAGTCATTCACGCTCTCCATCTGTAATACAGACTGGCTGCAAGTCATTCACGCTCTCCATCTGTAATACAGACTGGCTGCAAGTCATTCACACTCTCCATCAGTCATACAGACCGCCCTTAAGTCATTCACACTCTCCATCAGTAATACAGACCGGCCACAAGTCATTCAAACTCTCCATAATTAATATAGACTGGCCACAAGTCATTCACACTCTCCATCAGTAATACAGACCGGCCACAAGTCATTCACACTCTCCATCAGTAATACAGACCACCCACAAGTCATTCACACTCTCCATCAGTAATACAAACAGGCCACAAGTCATTCACACTCTCCATCAGTAATACAGGCCAGGCAGTAGTAAAACACACTGGCTACCAGAAACACAGACTAGCCATCAATTTAAATACGTAAAATTTCCATTTTCTGCAGGAGCAGTGAAGTTCCAACCCTCGCTGTGGCCGTGGGACTCTGTAAGAAACAATTTACGAAATGCCCTTACTGAAATGTGTGTCCTACATGATGTTTTGACCATTGTAAAGGAGAAGCGTTACATGCACCTAGATCCTGTCTCTCAAGAAGCACCAGCAGCAAAACAGGTGATTTTATTATTTGTTTACAAGATAATCTTCAGAGTACAGTCATGAATTATGGTTTAACAAGATAAAGTGACTCTGTTTTGTATGAATTGCGATTCATTGACTTTACATGTAGGGGCCTTGCTACATCCATGCCATCACCTGCCTAACTCTAACGTGAAAAATATATACTTTCAAAGTCCGCAACATTTATCAAATCTGGCATCATGAGGTGGCACATCATAGTGCTAGCAGAAAATTAGGAAAGGAATGTGATGTGGCGTCATGTTTTATATTCACATGATGTAAAACCGGACTCTACAAATCCTTGCTCCCCCAGGATGCTATGGTGACTAGAAATGTTGTCCTGGCGCCTGGGTATTTGTCAACCCATTCAGCAGAGATGGCTCGTTGAAGGTGAATGCAAACGGAAGGCAAGGGAGCATGGAAGCCATTGGCTGATGGACAATGCAGGTAGCCTGCTGGGGGTGGAGGCAGCCTGCTGAGGTTGAATGCAGGCGGTGGCAAGCTATGCAGGAGGAAGGCAAGGGAACGTGGAGGCAGCCCGCTGAGGTTGAATGCAGGCGGTGGCAAGCTATGGAGGAGGTTGGCAAGGGAACGTGGAGGCAGCCCGCTGAGGTTGAATGCAGGCAGCGAGGGAGGGAGCTGTAATCTTCCTACTCTCCTTGCTCTGCTCCCTTGCGCTGCCTGCGATGATGCCTGGACATGACATCTGAGCAAGGATAGCTTGAAGAGTACAGCAGCTCCACTGGAACCCGGGGAAAGGATCCATTCCAGCTCTCCCAAACGTAGGGAGGCTGGGTGGACTTAAATTGAATAAAATAATAATTTTGTGAGTGTGTGAGAAAATGTGTGTGTCTGTCAATATGTGTGTGTGCCTGTCTGTCAGTGAGTGTCTCTTTAGGTTACCACCACCATGCGATCGTATGGGAAAGGTGTTTTTACTAACCGTTTTTCCCACGCCCTGCCGGTCTCGCTTTGGCTGGCCCCACCTCAATAATCAATTTTGATTATTTTAGCTAAGCCAATGCTTTCCATTAGGAAAGCATTGAGAAGCTGTTGTGCATGCGCTAATCAGCATCTCCTCTTAGAGATGCATTGACTAAATGCATCTCTATGGGGAACATTCAGCACCTCCATGCAGAGTGTGGAGATGCTGAATGTAGCACTGGACTAGGTATCACCTCTAGAGGCCATCTGAGTGACTGACACTAGTGGTGCTACTAGGCAGCAATGTAAACACTGCATTTTATCTGAAAAGGCAGTGTTCACATTGAGAGGCCTGCAGTTACAGGATATAGACACCAAAACCACTACACTAAGCTGTAGTTGTTCTGGTGACTATAGTGTCCCTTTAAGAATTGTGTTTTTCTCGTTGAAAATTAAGCTTGTTTAAAAAAAAAACCTGCCTCCTAGATTCCAAGCAAATTTGTCAAACCCTGATGTAAAGTGCTTGTGCTTTTAAGGAACAAACAAAAAACTCCACACTCATGAGTCTAATTTCCAATAGGCAGTGTTGATTCATCTACCTAGAAATGAACTACACACTACAGCGTGCTTTTTTAAAGGCACTAAATCAACATCAGCTTGATGAAACCGTTTTAGTGTGTAAATCATGCACCTCCAGTCTCACTGCTCAATTCTTTACCCTGGAGCCTCCTGTGTTTGCTTAACCCCTTAAGGACACATGACATGTGTGACATGTCATGATTCCTTTTATTCCCTTTTATTTTATTTTTTTGCAAAATTGACATACAGGAGTGAGGTACCCCAATGGCATTCCTCGTGCTTTAGCGAAACATCTGTAACAGTGGGGTATTCCTAAGTACTTGCACAAATTTTATTCTTAAATAACAGATTAAAGGACCACTCTAGGCACCCAGACCACTTCAGCTTAATGAAGTGGTCTGGGTGCCAGGTCCCTCTAGGATTAACCCTTTTTTAAATAAACATAGCAGTTTCAGAGAAACTGCTATGTTTATAAATGGGTTAATCCAGCCTCTAAAGCCTCTACTGGCTGTCTCATTGACAGCCGCTAGAGGCGTTTGTGTGCTTCTCACTGTGTAAATCACAGTGAGAAGACGCCAGCGTCCATAGGAAAGCATTATGAATGCTTTCCTATGAGACTGGCTGAATGCGCGCGCAGCTCCTGCCGCGCATGCGCATTCAGCCGAAGAGGAGGATCGGAGGCGGAGCGGAGAGCTCCCCACCCGGCGCTGGCAAAAGGGTAAGTTTAACCCCTTTCCTTGCCATCCAGTCCGGCGGGAGTGGGACCCTGAGGGTGGGGGCACCCTCAGGGCACTTTAGTGCCAGGAAAACGAGTATGTTTTCCTGGCACTATAGTGGTCCTTTAATAAAACATGCTGGGTTTAGCTAATAAGTTTGGTCCTTAAGGGGTTAAAGGTAAATTTACAGAGCAGGAGATAAAAAAAACATATAAAGCAAGTTAACGTCTGATTTAAAAAGGAAACTTTTTTTTCCAGCAGGCTGTGTCGGTCACAGTCGGGGAAGGTGTGTCTAGGGCTGCATAAACAGAATCAAAAGTGATTTAACTAAATAGCTCCAGCAGGATTCAGTGGAAACTTGTTCAGGGGGACCCCACTGCTTCATGAAGCTGTCAAATGCTGAGAATATTTTCATTGGAAGCGTAGTGATTGTCACGCACGTCAAGTAGGTCACCTTACTATTGCTTCTATATGATAAGCATTTAAATGGACCAGAGATCAGAGTGTTTGCTTAGCACTGGATGAACAGAAGGCAAAACCAGCTTTTTTTATTTAAATGATTTCATGAACTAAATCTCCTAAGAAACAATATTAAAATTAAAAATAAATGGTTCTTTTTAAAGTTAGTGTTATTATAATTATTGGTTTTTATATTGCGCAAGCTTATTCCGCAGCGCTTTACAATAAAAGGGGAATTTACCAAATGAGACAATAACAAAATGTAACCGGAACAATAGGTAGTTGAGGACCCTGCTCAAACCAGCTTACAGTGTTCCTTGAATCTACCTATCCAGCTCACACAGTCCATGTTGATATCAGTAATGCTAATGTTACTAATATAACTTCTGTCTATATTTTACCAGAATCAGCACGGCTTGTTGCTAGTTTCTAAGAAGAAATCTTTGGCAGGAGCGGCTCAGATTCTCCTGAAAGGAGCAGAGAGGTTGTCCAAGTCAGTAGCCGAATATCAGGAGAACAAGAGACAGAGAGACTTCAACTCCGAGCTGTTGAGGTTACGGCAGCACTGGAAGCTAAGAAAACTCGGAGACAAAATCCTGGGAGATTTGAGTTATAGGAGTGCAGGTTAGTTCTGTTATGTTTTAGCCTTGTAACACCCAACAATGAGTATAAATGGGAGGCCATGCTATGCATCCATACCCTAAGCCTTTTATACGTGTTTCTTCCAGTTTCTGATAACTTGCACATAAAATCAATTTTGGCTTTTAACTCGTTGTTGTGTAACACTTTAATATTTATAATGCCCATTACAGAAAGATTGATTACAATTTGTGCTATCTATGTCTGCATTTACAGATTACGTTTCTGGATATAAAAGTATTCTGGTTATCTTTCTTTTTTTTGCAAGTAGTTTGAAAGTGATGGGATTAATTCTGCAATGCTTTTTTTTTTAATGTTTATGCATTCCAGAACATACATTAAAATTCACGAAATCCCAATATACTCCTCCTGGTGAAATACAATTTTGAACAAAGTACACAACAGTTATATGAGTTGATTCCTTTGTAGGATGCTACTGCCATTTAGTTTTAACACCTCCACAGCAAAGCCATTCAATATAATCCACAACAGAGGGATATAGGCACAATGCTAATCAATTGTGTACACATGTCCCAACACTGGGGAAGGGAATCATCCAGGTCCACAAATCATACATCAAGGCCCGGTGCTTTTTATTGAACTTTTCTTTCTTGTTTCAGGGTCACTCTTTCCTCACCACGGTACCTTTGAAGTTATAAAGAACACAGATCTAGATTTGGATAAAAAAGTCCCTGAAGATTACTGCCCACTGGATGTGCATATCCCCAGTGATTTGGAAGGATCTGCCTATCTGAAGGTTTGCATTGAACTCTAAAACATATCTTAAATGTTCTTTTAGTAAATGACTGTGAATGTGAAGATGATAGTTGTTAAAGAGTCACTCCAGGCACCTCCATATGTATGGCAGAGCCCGGTACAGCTGCGCGATTTCATCCAGTGGGCAGCTGGTAAAAGGCTGAGATAAACTGAGTCTGTCATCGGCCTAGCCGTGCAAAACCTTCCCCATTCTGCATGAGCAAAGAGGAAGAAAGCTAAGGACTGCTGTGTCAGGCACTAAAGGACCAATTTTGTGGGTTAAACAACTGAAAAACAGTTAAAGGACAACCGTCATCAAATTCTCACTTCTCATTTTTTTAAAGTGAATTTAAGGAGTTAATGAAACAATTATGTTTATTTGTATTTTCGATTATCTAGCTGAGCAGTCACGTTGGGTCATATTCTGTTATCTGACCAACTTGTGCTCAACCTAACATGCCTACTCGTCGGCACAGACCAGTGACAGCATTGTCTTGTTTGCACTTCATGACCTCAATAAGCAGCCCTGTCTGTCTGTGTGTATCTGCCTGCTCTCTTATCTTCAGCCCTCCCTGAACATTTAACAAGGACATCTACGTTATCGGTTATATCTGTTCCCAATCTGGTCCCTTCTACCACAGACAGACTGAGAACAAACGTGCAGGCAGCAACCATTGCAGGAGTTCTCTGGGACTATATGTAATCCGGGCACTTTCACTGGCAACTCTGCAGCTATGAACTCTCTCTGCTCCTGTCACTTCTGAAAATGTATAACCTTAACTTTGTTTGAGTTGCTGAGGGTGTCACTCCCCTATTTTCTCTCAAACAGAAAGTAAAGGTTATACCAGAATGACCCTTTTTAAGTGAGCCAAAAACAGAATTCATTAGTACGACCAAAAAACACATTAGCTTGCCTTTTGAGGATTAGCTCAGTCTGCCATTTCAGAGGCACCCAGTTATATCTTTGACCTATCAAACTGATACAACACACATGGGTATTTCAGAATAAATGCTGAATGGCCCTCAATGCATTAGAGATGCAGCAAACCTTTAGACAATTCTTCTGCATTTTCAAGTTGTGGGTGACTTTGCTGCCCCATGATGCCTTCGGCCTGCTTATCTATAAAAGTGCATTTGTATGCATGCACCCTATTGAGATGGCATTACATCTTAATCTACAGGCTGCGCTTTATGTACATGACGAGTAAATTAAAAAAACAAAGCTAACAAATGAGATTTAAAAAAAAAAACAAAAACAAAGTATGACCAATAGCTGATTTTTTTTTTTTTTTGTAATCTTTTTTTCTTGTAGAAAAATCTCATTAGTGACAGTGCCTCTTTAACTCCTCTCCCTTCAGAACTCTGTGACATGGTTAACATTAAAGAAATACATTTTTCAAAATAGATTAATGTTGTTCGAACCAGATTTGTACAGTATTGCGCAAATAGTATCCTTGCCTGAATATAGCAATTTCTCTTGATAATGCATCTACTGAACAGCTGAACAGTGCCTCTTTAATTGGAAATAAATGTGTTCTAATATCACAAATAATCTGCTTCTTCTCTTTAGGTTTCCATTCAGAAGCAATGTGCAGATATTGGTGACCTCGGAACAATTAATCTTTTTAAGCGACCTCTGCCAAAGGCAAAACCAGGTAAGCTTGTGCAGGTCAGACATATATTTCCCTTGGGTCGGTTATATTTGTTTATTCAAATGCTATTTTAATATATTACATGTTTGGTCTCTCTCTTTTACTCTGTTTTCCCTTGGAATAGGTTTACAAAACTATATGAAGGTGTTCTGCAGATGCCCAGTATATGATATAGATGAAATGTAATACTCTTTGATTTAATACCAAATTCTGATTACCGTAACAGATACACCTCCATCCAGGAGACTAATGTAGAAACATTAAAGAAGTCTCCGTAGGCAAAACATATTTCATAAAATCTTCATGGCAGTCTGACTGGGTTTGTAGTTAAAGCATTTACAACAGTTACATTTAAGGCAGTTGTTTTTCTTTGTGAGTTTGCAGAGTTCTTAGAGCCGAGGGACCTGCCAGCATTCTCCAAGCTGTCTTTTCAGCCTTTTTATATGCCTTTATATCTCTGTGGCCTGGAAACGAACTGGTCATGATCAACGAATTGCTGGATGCCAAATGTAAAAGTCTAGTCAGATGCATATAATGTGGGAAGTGTCTTTCTGTTTTTAAACCTCTTTACTCACTTGTTCCAGGAACCCCACATTGGCAGACCAGGCTGGAAGCTGCACAGAATGTTCTTCTGTGTAAAGAAATATTTGCACAGTTGTCTCGTGAAGCCGTTCAGATCAAATCCCAAATCCCTCACATTGTTGTCAAGAATCAAATAATCTCCCAGCCTTTTCCAGGTAAGAAACCTTTACATTGGTTACTTGTGGTTCTTAAAATTGGTTTCACTGTCATGCTTCAGATATAGATAACTTACGATATGCCATGGTCCTCCAATGATTATGTGCTTTGTTTATAAACCATTGCGAGGGGCAGTTTACTTGACTCATCGATAAAAGACCATCTATCAGTATTGTTGTTGTGGCATACAAGGCTGTCCTATAATAAATGTGTAATTCTCGGTGTATAGCCATGCTTTTAACCCCTTAAGGACCAAACTTCGGGAATAAAAGGGAATCATGACATGTCACACATGTCATGTGTCCTTAAGGGGTTAACTAGGGCAGGCAAATTTCATCTTCGATTATTTTCCGAATTGCTTCTTAACCCCTTAACGCCGTTGCGGCGGCATAGAACACCGTAACGGCTTTCAGCCCCAAAGGACCGGCGGTACTCACCTCCGCCGCGATCCTCTTCTGGAGGGCTGCCAGGCCGCCCAGGCAGCCCTCCTCCAGTGAATATGGCCCCCTATAGCTGGCTGTGGATCTGCCAGCAGGGGGACTGTCTGAAATATCAGACAGTCCCCATGCTGGTGGAAAGTGCAAAAAAAAAATAAACATGTTTAAAAAAAAATATATATATATATATATATCTATCTATCTATCGGTGTGTGTGTGTATATATATATATATATATATATATATATATATATATATATATATATATATATATATATATATATATATATAAGCGAAGCAAAGCAGGCTGCACTCACGGACTTCTGAATATAAAGTGTAGTTTATTCCATCCAAGAAACAAGAATAATCAACGTTTCGGTCCGCACAGGGACCTTCCTCAGGATCATACGTAATGTATAAACGTCATTCGTAATGTATTTTAATATTAATATAAGTATATATTAATATTAAAATACACTTAGAATGACGTTACATATATATAATGTGTGTATATATAGTATATATATTATATATATATATATATATATATATATATATGTATATATACACATATAATTAATAATAAATTTAAATAAAAAATAAAATATTGAAACAAAATTTAATATAAATTATATATTCATATGTAATTTCATTCTAACTGTATTTTGTTATATATATATATATATATATATATATATATGTATATGTAACAAAATACACTTAGAATGACATTCTATATATATCTATCTATCTATCTATATATAAAATACAAATAACCGCAAATAAATATATAGCGATAAATACATATAATTACATAAAAGATTACATTAGTATACACGTAGAATTTAAATACCTATAAATGCATATATATTAAAATTCTACGTGTATATTTAAGTAATCTTTTAACATAATTATGTGATTTGATTAATTAAAATTTGATTGACATGCCTGACAACACAGGGAGAAAGTGCAGTGAATTTAATTCGCAAGCACTATATTTGACCCTGTAACTCTCCAAGACTCCATAAAACCTGTACATATGGGGTTCTGTTTTACTCGGGAGACTTCGCTGAACTCAAATATTAGTGTTTAAAACTGGTAAATTGTATTACAACGATGATATTATAAGTAAAAGTGAAGTTTTTTGCATTTTTTACAAACGAACGTCATGTTTATGGACTATATTATTGTTCTAATATTCTTTACTGTTTTAAAACACTAATATTTGTGTTTAGTGAAGTCTCCCGAGAATAACAGTACCCCCCATGTACAGGTTTTATGGTGTTTTGGAAAGTTAGAGAGTCACATATAAGGCTTGCATTTAGTTTTGTTGACATTGAAATTTAACAGATTGGTTATGTTGTAATTCTCATTCCTGGGCTACCACACCGTCTCAAAGGTAACAATTAAATTAAAAATTTCAATGTGAAAATGGAACATTCTATATTTGACCCTGTAACTTTCCAAAACACCATAAAACCTGTTAATACTGTTGTACTCGTGAGACATCGCTGATTACAAATATGTGCATTTTTTTGCAGTAAAACCTAACAGTATTATGACATTTACAGCTAAAATGTGAGGCGGAACTACAAATTTTTAAAAAAAATTAAATTTCTCACAGTTTTTTAAATTTTATTCATAATAAATTATGTTTTATATATAAATATTTGATATGAAATGAAAGCCCTGTTTCTCCTGAACAAAATGATATATAATAAGTGTGGGTGCATTTACTATGAAAGAGTTGAATTACGGTTGGACAGACATGTAGCGCAAATGCCAGGTTTTGTTTACATTTTGTTTTGTTCACAACGTGTACATTTGGCTCTGTCCTTAAGGGGTTAAAGTTCAAACATACTACTGTATTTGTGATTGGCAGATAATTTAAAAAGTTATAGGTCATATGCAGCTGAAGGTTAATAAATGGCCACCCATCACTTATGAGCCATGGTTCACATATTCTGAAATAAAGACACCAAAGATTAAATACTGAGATGCCTAACAGTCATTGGCAGGCCTACAAAGAAACCAAAATAAAATAAGAAATACACTATCACCAATGAATGTAGTTAGATTGGTGCATCACTAGAACTCACTGCTTCTTTTCACACCACACAGAGGATAGTCATCATGGCCCTGGATAAACTGCGTATTTTCAGATGCCGAAATATAACAGCATGCTCTGCGTCCTTTTTCATCTTTCCCAATCAATCCCGGCCACAATGGGCTGCACATTGTCTAGGCAGTTACCCCTGAGAAAGGCAGAGAGCACTCCATTAGTGGGAGAGAGAATATAACAAAAATAATTCAATCAGCACACCATAGCAAGTCAGACTGCAAGCCAGACTGCACATTACCAGAAGAAACCCCAATAATGGTCCAGAGAGCAACCACCTGTGGTTAACAAGGTAAACCAGCAGAGGGCCACATCACCACTGGGACACACATCACACCAATAGAGAACAAGACATTACAGCAACATGTCTAGAAAGAGTGCTATGTATACTGCCCAGAAAGAAATGAATGAAAATGAATTTATATCTTTATTTATGACTCGGTTTAATAGATATACCTCTAGTGAAATCATGCATTTTTCCATTGGGATTTTCTATTTTTCCAAATGCCTTCCTAATGGGGGTTTTCAAGGCTCTCGACATCCATTATCATTTCACGGCGTTAAACTCTGTGAAACTGCAGGAAGCGCTTCTAGAGGCTGTCTGGTAGACCGCCACTAGTTGCAGTGCAATGCAGCGTAAATGCACTGTGAATGCTTCTCATAGTGAAGCATTGGATTCAATGAGAAGCATCCAATTGACAGAATGCTGTGCATACGTAGTATGCCCTAGTGCTTTTCTATGAGAAGCATTGGATTGGACAAGAGATCATGGATGATGTCTAAAGAGGAGCATCTGCTGGGAGGAGCCTCGCTACTGGATTACCAACGCGTTTTTATTTGTAAACGTAGGACCCATAATCTAACCGTTCTAGTCCTATTTAGTTTGAATATTGGGGTACTTTTGGATACTATACACAGACATGTGCACGATTATTGGCATTATGCAATATCAGTTGATGAAGTTTAAGTTGGTGCCTGGATGTAACTCAGATCTCTCATTTCATAAATGTTGCATTTAGAGCTATTTTTTTTTTTTAAATTCTTTATTTTTTAAGATGCTTTGTTTTAACAACATTCCAATGGGTAATCGGCATACATAAGATTTGACACCAGAAAAATGGAAAAACATGTTTCAGTTACATGTATAACAGTGAGTATAGCATTGCTCTGAGAACTGGTGCAGTAGTCCTTTTTTAACAGCATTAGTTTTTTATGGTACATGCTTAAACTTTGTTTGGGGACTGCTAGAGAGAGGTCGCTCAATAATGAGTTTCTGCTTATGTTTTGCTCTGATTGCGATCCCTGTGTGCATTGTTTACAACCTATGCTCTGAGGTGGTGCATGTTTAGGGATGGGGATGCGGGTTGCAGGCACTTTGTCATGTACAAAATATAAAATATAACATGTCATGCTGGTTACAGGTTGTAGAGGTGGTAGCTTATCGTGAGTATCGTGAGCATGTGCGCTCTTGATAATATGGTGGTGAAGTAAAGAGATATGCAACCACGCTGTGGGCCCCTGACCCAGCGGGGCAGTGGAGGGGGGGGGGAGGGGGAAATACGCCATTTGGTGCTAGTGTATATGCTTGTCAGCCTAATCTGCCCTTGCCTGTGCCGGGCTCGGGCCCGTGAGGGCACTGTGTTGTGTAGCCATATTTGAGCGAGAGGGTAAAATACACTCTAAACAATTAAATCTACTATGAACACAAACTGGAATAAAATTGGGTTGAAAAGTTGGTCCTCGGGAGTTTGCACCCTGCAGTCACGGTGTTTCTGGCTGTGGGTTCCTCTCTCTCGGGGTGAATGGTGTGATGGAAGAGGGGTCCCATGAGGTCGCCTGGTGTTCAGAGGTTGAAGGTGCAGTCGGATGTTCAAGACCCAGGGTACTCAAAAAAGTATGTGCATCTCCCAAATTCGGTAGCATATGTGTAGTCCCGTTTTGAGTCACTACTAAGGAGCCGTTCGCTCCCCAGCGGTAAGCCAGACCTGCGTTTCTCAGCTGGGTTGTAACAGGCCTATATCTTTTACGGATCTGGAGGGTGGCCCTTGTAAGGTCCTGGAAGAATGTGAGGCTTGAATTCTCGAATGTGAGTAGTGCCTTATCTTTTATTGCCGCCATAATTTGGAGCTTATCAGGTAGCGTGACGCATCTGAGAATGACGTCTCGTGCCAAAGTTGTTGTGCAGTGAGTAGGGCTTGGAAGACGGTATACACTGTCTATGTTTATTCGTTTGGCCACAGTGTGAGACATGACTGTTGTCAGCATTCTTCTAACGTAGTGTGGCAGTTCTGCCACCGTGACCGCTGAGGGGATGCCCCTGATCTTGATATGTGTACGCCTCTGGCAGTCTTCAAGGATAGCAAGTCTGAGTGACAGGATCTGGTTTTGGGCTTGAAGCTCTTGTATGGAGGTATCCACGGAGGTTAAGTGGGTTTGTACTGTTATTTCCTCCTCTGAGGTTCGCACTCTCTCAGTGACTGCCTGTACCTCCGTTTTAAGTAGTGCAGAGTCCGCCGCCAGTAACTTGTGGATTTCTGCCAGAAGAAGTTTTAAATCCCTCTTTGTGGTGGGTGCTGAGTCATCTGGCTGTTCATGCTGCTCAGCTTGAGGGGTGTGTGGAGATTGTGAGCTTCCAGGTCTGTCATGGCCTGCTGTTGTGCCCATGTCCCTCACTTGCGTATCTTCCGCGGGAGTGGGTCTGAGTTGGGCGGGCCTCTGTAACATGGCCCCTATATCCCGACCCTACGCCTGGTTTTGGGGCTTTTGAGAGCGCCTACCTTTGCCTGACATTGGTGCTGGTGAGGCTGGCGGTTTCTGGGGTTGCGGGTTGTCTGCTCCGCTCGCGGTAAGGCTTCCCAGGATTCCTTGCAGGCTGTGGAGCGCTCGGTAGGCCTCAGATCTGTGCTTCCTCCTTGTTGTTTTTGGTGCCTGGAAGAAAGGCATCAGTCGGTTCCTCTTGCCCTACTGGATTCGGTTCAGTGAGTGCCGTGGCTGGATTGTGTTTAGTATTGCCTATATCGGCAGAATTAGGTTTGTAGACAGAGGAGCTTCTGGAAATGGCGTCTGATCGGGTCCATGGTTAAGCTCCGCCCCCCCATTTAGAACTATTTAATGGGAATTAAAATCCAAAGGTGTCCAAAAGCAGAATCTTTCAAGGAAAACTACAGCCCGGTAGATAAAAGCAAAACATTTCACACCCCCTTCCACCAGCTCCAAATTGTCCCCAAGGATAGAATAAAGTCCCTTGTAGTTAAATCTTCGTTATTCCAACCAAAGCCAAAACAACAAAACTGTGTTTATAGCTTAGAGCCTATTAAAGGATTCCAAATGTCGTCTTTATCCTGTGACATTAAAAGGCGACAGCAGGCTGAGACATTATGCAGTTTCCCTGGTACCCATTGTGATGTTGTGTGGTCAAACATCCATCTTTTAATGTGCACAGACTGTTCTCTGGCTCCTCTGTCCATACTTCCTACATTTTGTCTTAAAGTCGTTTTGTATTCTGTGAGTGTCAGCAACAGACAAAACTCTTTGGTGTATACTGTATTTGTAGAGACTTGTGAACATTCTGTTCTTGTCATTCCTATATTTGGCCTTATTCACCATATTATGTACTGTGGATATGATGTTCAGTATAGCTATAGAATACTGTGTATGGACACATGTACACTGCATACTTAACACAAGTTAAGGACTAATACAGTTATTGTTCAGTATTTCCTGGAGATTCTGTGGATGTTCTACTCCTAATGACATTAAACTGACTCCTAAATGGATCTACTTGGCTCTTTTATTATTCAATCATTAGTTATATTGAGTAATCTCTACATTTACACTCCTTCAACATTTGCCCATATTTTGTGTTTGTTATGGATCACTTTGTCACTCTGGGATCAACCTAGTGCAAGCAGTTCAATAAATAGATTGATAACGAAAGAGACATATTTAAAAAGCAGAGTTTTTATGCATTTATTTGTGGTGCACAATGATCAATAAATGGGGATTTGAGAGGCAAGAAGAAAATCTAGTTTAAATGCATCAATGCCACATGTGCAGAAAATTTATGCAAAATTAGTATTTTAGAAAAGGAACATAAAAGACTGGATTCAAAACTGTATTTCTTGGAGCGTGTATTCACTGTTTGGGTACAATCCCCTTTCGTCATCTCCCATTTCCATAAAATGTGTATGGTGCTGACGTCGTTCAAGAACTGGGGCAGATATATTGGGGAATTACAGTTACTGCTACTTTAACAGTAAAAACAGGAACAAAATAAAAGGGATATCTCAAAAAAATGTGAAATCTAGTTTATTCGATCCTGGTAAAATTAAGCAAAGCGACAACATAACTGGGAACTTTAAGTAGAGAGATCTATCTCGAACTTTAAAAGTCAAGCAGTGGTTGCAGAGTTCATATGACCCGTATTCGACCAGTGGTGTCATGCATACATACCTCGTCGTACTAAGTGGCCGAGCAAATTGAAGTAACAACTAAATCCGGACGTAATGCTTTCAACATCCTAAAACTATTAAGTGAAAGCTTTCAGACTGAATGCAAACGCTATTTAACCATCAGTCTGCTTGACATCACCAAATGCAGAGACACATTTCTCCATCAATGGGAAATTAGTTGAAGATATTTTTATTTTATAATGTTTCCTCTGCCCATTTACATTTCTGTGATAGATATATGTGTCCAAAGAGACCTCCATCAGCATAGGTTCTAAATAGTTGTTTTGATACAGATCTGGCATCATCTTGGTGACTGACATACTTCTCTTGTAATGTAATTCCTATTGATTTAAATGCCCTAAAACATCTTGCTTAAACTATTCTCCAAAAATAATCTTTTTTTGAGTATAGCCAACCAGGAGAATGAAAAATGCAACCACTGTGGCCTTTCTGCCTTGTGAGTTCTCTGGAGTTCCAAGTCAATCGCTTTTTAAAATGTAAAATATATTTCATTGTATCAGATCAGCAGCTTGGCTGGAGATGTGGGTGAACAATTGCTGCCTCCACGTGCATCCTGGAAGTACACACAGAAATGCACACAGTTTATTTAATCTAGTCATTTCATTGTATAATGAAGACCATCACTTTAAAGTGTGCTTTGTAGCAAATCTTTAAGTGACTGAGGACTTCCAGACACCCCTTGTCCTGGCATGGAGTTCAATGGGAGCACAATTGTATCCCATAAAACTTTGCTCTGAAACAGCCATAGTAAGCTGTGTAGACCTGAGCAGTCATAAAACAGGGAGTATGCTAATTGCTTTTCACTAATGAAAAATATGAATGAGAACAGTTCTTAAACATAAAATCTGAACGAGTAGCTGTTGTGAATGAATAGGTGCGATTTTTATTTTTTATTTATTAATATGCCATGTCTGTCCCTTAAATTTATTAACTTTGTGAAGTTTAAATCTCTCTGCACACAGGATTACAGCTGTCAATCTCTTTCTGCCACTCGTCAAATGACAAGAAATCTCAGAAATCAGCTTCCGAAAAGGCTACCACAGAAGACCACCTGTATGTTCTTGAACACAATTTGCACCAGCTGATTCGAGAGGTATTGATCTCCATTCTACTTTATACTTCTTCTGGTAACACTTTATGAATTAACAAAATGGATTGTGTTGACCATTACTGTATATTTTATCATTTACTGTAAATAATGTAAATTATTAATCCAGAAAATCTAATTGACGGAGGACAAGCAAGCATTGTTATCATTATTTATTTCATTGTCTTTATTCTAGTTTCATAAACAGACGTTAAGCAACATAGTGATGCCACATCCAGCTAGTGCTCCGTTCGGTCACAAGAGAATGCGGTTGGCAGGTCCTCAATCTTTTGACAAGAATGACATCAGTGCAATGCAGCAGAATGAGGGTCTCCTGGAGAAGATCATCAAACAAGCTAAACACATATTCCTCAGACGAAGGTATAGAACCTCCGCCTTATCCATCCTTTATCATACAGGGCATTGGGATTGGACTGTAGCCTTCATTTTGTCCAATTTTAGTATATAGGTGGTTGTGGATGTTGTGAGTGAGTCTACTGGGGGTATCTTTGATAAACTAAATTTATAAATAGCAGTTACATTGTGGGTATGGTTAAGTTCTAAACATTCGTTAGCACTGATTGTATGCTTAGGTAGACACTGGCTGATTAAGTATGCTACCTATGAGCTGGACAGCTTTGTGCTTTGTTTGGATTCTACATTTCCTCCAATCCTCTGATGACTCTAGTAATAAAGTTTGTCTCTGGGATCCTTGTGGGTTAGAATTGCTCCTGGAGACTAACTGCGATTTTTGGCCCGCCCGCACTCTGAAGGAACATGGTGGAGCAGGGGACCCCCCGGGTGTACACATAGACGCCAAAGCCAGCTTCCTACCCGACCGTGAACCCGAAATCGACAGGTGAGGCCTGTTGCTCTCCTCGCTCGATAACCAGCGCGCAGACACCCACCGACTTTCCACCTCCTCCCCCTCCCCCCCATGGGACCGGTGGGGGATATCCCAGTCCCCACTGGGAGTCCAAAGTAACCTACCTTTGCCGAGCCCTGACCCAAAGCGATACACACACATCACCGGCACCGCTGTACGAGGAGCACGCAAGATGGCGGCAACATACTCCCCGGCTAAGCAGACCCAGCTCTCCAGCCACACAACCTGCCACAACAATGAAGCTGATATCGAGCAGCGGCTAAATAGGCTGTTCAACAAATTTTGGGAGAAAATCCAAAGCTGCAGGTGGGCACAACAGACAGCTCTGGAAACTGGTGAGAGAGGACTAGGGGAGCGAGGGGGTCATTCTCTGGCACCACACTAGATCACCCAGTAATCCAAACATGTCTGAGCCCACCTGAGCTGAAGGCCAAGAAGGTCCTGACCCGACAGTATCGCCCACACAGATGTAGGCCCAAGCGCCGCACGCGGCAGCCCACCATCAGGCCCCCTGCAACTCCCAAGAGAGGAGAAAACTCACGCTCAGGAAGCAGAAGAGTCTGTGGCCACAAGATGTAGGCCTACACATCAGCCTGGGGCTGGAGGGATACCTACACCCGCACCCCAGTGGTGCCGAGAACCCACAACCCACCAGAGGGATGCAGACGCCGGGCGAAAATGGGAATTGGGTGAGAGGGTAAACCATACACCAACGCTCCCATGCTGTGAACACCCTCACCTATGTGTTCCTGTACGTGACTTCCTACCAAGACGCCATATCTTGCCGTGACTGAGGAATATGGGACCCAGTACACTTTTCTTATGATTTGGGACCCGGACACCAGTGTCCTATCAAGCGTTACCTTAATTATGTCTATGTTTAATTCTATACTAGTTACGATTTTTCTCTAGCAACAGTGAGTAAGCACCATAAACATGCCTATATGACACTATACTAGAACTGCTAGCCTATATATACGTCTAAATACTACACACAGTGACAAGCTACCACGACTAACATTTAACCAGGCATAATTAACCTACAATCATTAACACACACACTTGGCAAATACATCTTACTGTTATTAACATATCTATACTCTGCTTTGCAACTCTAGCATACAATTGCAGCCAATCTAGATGTATAATGTTAGCCTGAACTTATAATATAAAACTGTGCATGCATTTCTCAATAACCCAATTTTTATCCAGGACGAATAGCATGAGGACTGCTGTTGGGGCACCTCAAGCGTGTTTGTAATGTCGTTATGCACTGCAAAAATACAAACAAAAAAAAGAATTGCTCCTGGTACACGTGAATTTCCATTTTGGCTGGTCAAAAAAAATAAAAATCATTCTACATATTTTTTTTATGTGCAGACTGATTTTCCTTAAAACACAAATACATTTCCAAGTTTTCACTCTGTTTAAATGAATTGCATGCCACTGTATGCACAGTGTAACCGTGATGTATGGGTGATTATGGGGAAAAAAAGCAATGGGAATAAAGTACTTAGAGCTCAAATGACAATTGAATTATAATTTTCTGCATTTCTTATAGAACTTCCCGCACCATTGACAGCCTTGCCAGTCGAATTGAAGATCCACAGATCCAAGCACATTGGTCAAGCATCAATGATGTGTACGAGTCCAGCGTGAAAGTCTTAATAACATCTCAAGGTTACGAGCAGATCTGCAAGTAAGTAATTCATATTTAACCTTGTTTCTGTTGGCAAATGTCCACAACAGCATTGGGATTAGCCCTTACTACCCTATCTTGCACCTGTTATGTGCCTTAGGTACATTATATCATGCTTTTTATATAATTTATTTTATTGCATTTTCATGTTTTCACTGTGTTCCAATTATTTATAGTCTCAAGAAAAAAAAGTGGTTTTGTTTGAAAACATTGTCCTTGCATGCTGTGTGATTCTCAAGTGTGGATTAGTTGCATTTTCTAATTGTATAATACATGTATTCTACATATACAGCATTAATTTGTAGGTGTCTTCCCGCCAGCATATGTCTGGTATTTACATATTTTATCATTTATTTCTCTAGGGGGGAAGCATTTCATATGCTTTAACTTTTTGTGCATTTGAAATTTTGATACTATTCCAAGATAGTTTGCAAGCTAGAAACTAAGTTCTAGACCCAAGACTGATAGAAAAGGACTGTATAAGGTGGAGAGGGATGGGTGAGGGAAAAGGATATGAGCTTGTGATCTTATATGTCTATATTCAGTTATGTATTGTACAATGGAACACTGTATACAGAATTATAAGGATAATGTATGTTATCTTTGTCATTTATATACTAAAACTAATAAAAAATATATTAAATAAAAAGAAACAAAGTTCTAACACTATTTGTTGATTTTTCAGTCGATTCCATTTTATTGAGCAATAAGTAGTTTGTTCCGTAAGCACTTGCAAAATTTATAAATTTATGCTTTTAAAAAAAAAAAAAAATTCATTACAATTTGATGTTTATTTAAAAGACCCATAAGGAATCTTGTTTCTCCTAACCTGTCTACTCTTTATGAAGTTTAACCCCTTCAGGACGGTTCAGGACCGTCCTCGGCATTTTTGTATTGCCAACCGAGGACGGTCCTGAACCGTTCTAATGGAAAACGGGTGGCGGGAGCGATCAGAGATCACTTCCGCCGAAATCCCGTTGTTACTATCTGCCCGGCATCCCAGGCAGATAGTAACAGCCAATTGCGGCATGTGAGCGATCCGCGATCGCTCACAATTGGCTGGTGTCAAAGTGGGTGTTACAAACACTCACTTTGACACTGATCTCTGCCTCTCTCCTCTGTAGCGTTTTGTGAGGGGAGAGAGACAGAGATTGTGATAGTTTGTTGCAGCAAGTGTTCCAGAGAGTATTAAAAAGTATCAGCAGTTAATAAAAAATCCCTTTTAACCCCTTCCCTGCCAGATCTGTTACAGACAGTACATTTGTACTGTCTGTATTTTTTTTTTTGCCCTTAAGGGTTAACTTTATTTAAAAAAAATCTGTTTCTTAGTCTGTCAGTTTCCTTCCCCCAAATCTCCATTAGATTCTTCTAACAGGAGTTAGTTCAGGGATTACTGTTTTAGTCTGTTTTAGCGTAAAAAAAAATAAAAAAATTTGTGTTTAGTATTTTGTTAGTTTAGTCTGTTAGTGTGAAACATGCAGCGCATGTACAGCTTGGAGGAGGCATATGCCTTCTTGGCGTCAGACTCTGACGCCACTGACACTGCGTCCGATTTTGACCCAGGTCAGTTTAGCGACACGTCTAGTGACATGTCGTCTGTGTGTGAACCAGCTGCTAAAAGAAGCTGTGCTTCCCCTGCTAAGCCGAATGTGGAGGAGGACTGGGTACCTCCCCAGTCAGCTGAGCCCAACATCCCCCCCTTTTAGTGCCAACGCAGGCATTAATGTGAATGTGGTTGGCTTCTCCCCTATACAATATATGGAGTTATTTTTAGGGGATACCATCTGGGAGGAGATTGTTTCCCAGACTAATTTATACGCTAGTCAATTTATTGAGGCCAATCCAGGGAGCATGCGTGGCATCCCACAGATATCCCTGAATTTAAAACATTTTGGGCTCTTACCATGCTCATGGGGATAATAAAGAAGCCATCAATCCGCTCTTACTGGAGCACCAACCCAATTTGTTTGACTCCTATATACTCCCAAACAATGCCTAGACCAAGATATGAGTTGCTGCTGAGATCCTTACATTTCAATGACAATACCCTCTGTCACCCCAGAGATCACACCCAATATGATAGGCTTCATAAAATACACTCACTGGTAGACCATCTTCAGCACAAATTTACTGAAGTTTATACTCCTCAAAAAAATGTATCTATTGATGAATCGTTAATGAAATATAAAGGGAGATTAGGATTCAAACAATACATCCTCTCAAAGCGCTTTAGGTATGGCGTAAAATTCTACAAACTGTGCGAGAGCGAAAGTGGCTATACATTTCCTTTCGTATATATGAGGGGAAAGATGGTCAACTGGACCCTCCTGGCTGTACTGACTCTCTGGGGACAAGCGGGAAACTTGTTTTTGACTTACTGATCCCCTTGTTCAATAAGGGTTACCACCTTTTATGTGGACAATTTTTATAGCATTGTCCGTTTGTTTCAAACTCTTTAGGGTTTCTAGATACTGGCCTGTGGCAGTGTGAGAAGATATGCCAAGGATTTCCCCAGACCTTTTATAGAGGCCAAATTAAAAAAAAGTTAATGTAAAGGTCTGCACACAGCTAAAGTGCTTGCAATAAAATTTAAGGACAGGAAGGATGTTAATATACTAACCACCATCCATGACGAAAGCATGTCAGACGTCACTGTCCGAGGCAGAGTACAGACCAAACCTGTTTGCATCAGGGCTTATAAAATGCACATGGGGGTGTTGATTTGGCTGATCAGCTGATGCAGCCATATCTTATCTTAAGAAAGACAAAAGCCTGGTATAAAAAGGTGGCTATCTACCTGATGCAAGTAGCAACACATAATTAATTTTTACTCTTTAAAAAAATTAATACAGAAAGAACCACCTTTCTCCAATTTTAGTTCAAGCTGATTTCCACAATAATTTATGGAGATGGTCAAGTTCCAACAACGGTGCCAGAGGAGTCCAGACATTTTATTTTTAAAATACTGCCAACTGCAAAAAAAAACAAATCCCCTGAAATGCTGCTGGGTCTGTTATAAAAAAGGGAAAAGGACAGACACCCCTTTGTACTGTTTTTTTTTTCTTTTGAAAGCAGCAAATTTTAGTTAGTCAGTTTCCTTCCCCCCAAATCTCCAATTAGATTCTTTTTGCAGGAGTTAGTTTAGAGAATGCTGCTAAAGGTGCATTTGATACCTGCACATTTGGTTAAAAAAGTTTTATGGTAGTAACATATAACTGGCTGGCCAAAACCAGATGACGTGTGCATAAAAAGCAGAATTCAAAAATTACCACCATGCACGTTCTCTGAAATTTGTTTAGCACAATGGTTGGGGGAAGGATGTGAAAACACCTCATATACAATACCCTGGAATGTCTACTTTATAAAAATATAAACTTTCATGATGTTAACATTAACGGGGGGATGCAAAAATATGCCAAACTGAAGATAGGCCAAGCATACCTATATATCAAGTTGAAAAACTGATATGTACAAGTCTCGATTGTGGCCTTTTAGCCCCCAAACAACCCAGCAAACCTATGCATGGGTGATATCACCCATGTACTCAGGAGATGTTGCTGAACACATATTGGGGTGTTGTTTGGCAGTGATACATAACAGGATCTGTTAATTCATGCCTAAAGTACAATGTATGTGTAAAAAAACATGAAGAAAATTACTACCCAAAAGTTTGCCAAAGGTTGGTGGTAGAATTATTGCATGAAAAGTATTAAACTACCACCATTTAAAATACCATGAGTTGTCTACTTTTCAAAAATATATGGTGTGATGGGGTAAAATACATCGGCCCAAATAGGACAGGGGCGCCGGTTTACTACATGTCAAAATTCCAAGTTGAAAAATGGATATGTGCACCTGCCAAATGTGGCCTTTTAGCCCCCAAACAATCCGACAAGCCTATGCATGGGTGGTATCACTGTACTCAGGAGATGTTGCTGAACACATATTGGTGTGTTGTTTGGCAGTGACACATAACACGATTTGTTAATTCATGCCTAAAGTACAATGTGTGTGAAAAAAACACACAAAAAATGACTACCTAAATGTTTGACAAAGTCTGGTGGTAGAATTAGTGCATGGAAAGTGTTAAAAAACCACCATTTGAAATACCCTAGGGTGTCTACTTTCCAAAAATATATGGTTTGGTGGGGGTAAAATACATTGGCCGGCCTTACAAATGTCCCAAATAGGACATGTGCGCAGGTTGACTACATGTCAAAATTCCAAGTTGAAAAATGGATATGCGCACCTGCCAAATGTGGCCTTTTAGCCCCCAAACAACTCACAAGCCTATGCATGGGTGGTATCACTGTACTCGGGAGATGTTGCTGAACATATATTAGTGTGTTTTTTGGCAGCAAGACATAACAGGATCTGTAAGTTTATACCTGAATTGCAATGTATGTGAAAAAAAAAAAAAAAAAAACTACCTATGCGAAGTTTGGCAAAGACTGGTGGTAAAATGGCTGCATAGAAAGTGTCAAAATATCCTTAGATGAATACCCTGGGTTGTCTACTTTAAAAAATATATATACATGTGGAGTGTTTTCCATAGATTTATGATGGATAATAGTGTTACAATGTCACTATTGATACATTTTAAAAAATGTTTGTTTTGAAACCGCCATATCCTACTTGTACCTATAGCCCTATAACTTGCAAAAAAAAGCACGTAAACACTGGGTATTTTTAAACTCAGGACAACATTTTGAATCTATTTTCATTCGCTTTTGTAGATGAGTAAAAGATTTTCCAAGTAAAAGTCAAAAAACATGTATTTTTTTTTTCAATTTTTCATCATATTTTTTCATTTTTTTTAAATTAAATTACATGCGATTATATAAATAATGGTATGTAAAGAAAGCCCCTTTTGTCCTGAAAAAAAATAAAATATAATTTGTATGGGAACAGTAAATGAGAGAGCGGAAAATTACAGCTAAACACAAACACCAGAAAAGTGTAAAAAGAGGCCTGGTCGCAAATGTACATCGCAAAAACAGTCCAGTCCTTAAGGGGTTAAAAGCTGCAGTATGTATTTACTGATTGGCATTGTCTTTGGTCAATATATATTATTAATCTAATCATTAATTATATTATTAGTGCCGGCAATTTGAAGATTGTCCTGTTTATTTAGCAACAAGTGGTATAAAAAAACGATGCGATCGATATCTATCTATATCTAGCTGTTTGTCTTTGGATGTCTCCCACTGTGATGGTGATTGGTTCCTGTTCTGGGAGCTTTATGCTTTCAGATGTTTTTTTGGCCTGTGCATCTAAACATGTGTTCTACTTTTCAGGTCTATTCAGTTACAGCTCAATATTGGTGTGGATCAGATCAGGGTGGTCCATAGAGACGGGAGAGTGATAGCTCTGTCTCACCAGGAGCAAGAGCTCCAGGATTTCCTCCTTTCTCAGGTATCTATTCAGAATGTTTGGCATTTCCTTTTTTTTATGAACTAAAAAGAGAAAAACACAATCCATGAACTCTTTAGATAAATACATATAGTAGTGATTTGTGTACCTTTTTGGAGTTGGGATAGGCAGTCTCCTTTCTGATAATTACTCGATTTTCTTGGTATTTTTTAATTCCAGATGTCCCAACACCAAGTTCTTGCTGTTCAGCAGTTGGCTAAAGTCATGGGGTGGCATGTCCTCAGCTTCAGTAATCATGTCGGCCTTGGACCAGTTGAAAGCATCGGGAATGCATCATCAATAACTGTCGCATCTCCAAATGGAGATTATGCTATTTCAGGTTGGTTTTTTAATATATTATGCATGTGTTCTTTATACATCTTAATGTTCCTTTGATGCGCTAGAGCTGACATTCTGGATTCGTTGTTTCTTTATCCCATGCTAAAATTGAAAAGCTGGATAGATGAAGCAAGCATTGCATTTACATCATTTCTACTCTATCTTCCCCGGAGTCTCCAGGCCTGGTTCCCAGGGTCCATCTCTTAACTAAAATTTTCACAACATACCCTCTGCCCTAGAGATAATAACATTCTAGCCGCTGCATTTTCCAGTTTTGGAATGTGTTCATTATTTAGACCATGCTAAAATTGCAACCGTTTTTGCAATTGTAAATTTGAAACTCCCATTTTTGTTTTATACAAAACAGAAGATTCGAGAGAAACATGCAAAAAAATTGCATGTAGAGATACTTACAGAAAATGTTAAAATACATTAAGGCGTGTATACTTGGAATAAACCCCAAATAATAGTGTGTGTGTGTAAATGTAATAATTTATAATATACTTTTCTTTGAACATCCTGTGTCTTCAACCCCTCAGACACACCATTTAGGGTCTGAAGCAACAGGAATTAGAACATATGAATACACAGTAATAGTGATGTCGCGAACCGTTCGTGGCGAACTCCGGTCAGCTGACACATCCCTGCCAATCTCCGGCAGACCCTCCCTCCCAGACCCTTCCACCTCCTGGACAGCATCCATGTTGAAGCTGCCTTTAACATGGATGCTGTCCAGGAAGTAGGAGGGTCTGCCGGAGATTGGCAGGGATGTGTCAGCTGACCGGGGTTCGCGGCGAACCATTCGCGGCAAGTTCGCGAACGGTTCGCGACATCACTACACAGTAACTGGAGTTTTATTTCTTTAGCTGCAATTGGATTAACACAGGTCTTGAACGTGATTTTTTTTTTTTTTGTTTTGTTTTGTTTTGTTTTATAAACAGTTGGAGAACCACAGACTTTCTATAAGTATTCTAGCTTTCTTCCTTTATATTTATTTTCATGTTCTACTGTTCCAAAGTATTATGCCCTGGAAACATCGTGAGATTTCTCAACTGGCCTGAGGAAAGTGTGTCAAAACATTTTTGCTTCTCCTGCTGTTTAATGCAATAGCTTATTCTGTTTCTGCCTCCCACACCCCCAATGTTCTGAGAAAGCAGCATGGTTTTTGTTCTTGGCTGATTAGTCATGTGCTCAGTGTTGGTTTTAGAAAAGCTGTTTTGATACTGGGTTGTATTGGACAGCCTTGGTTCAAAGACATTGGGACAGGATCTGGCAAAGCCCTGCACTGTCGGGAATAAAATAAAGCATTAGCAGTGAAGCACAAAGTCTCCGCAAGCCTACGAGACATCCCGAACCCTGCCCGACATTTCACTTCTTTTATTATAAATCATTTACTGATTTCTACTTGTGCAGTCAAACATACACATACGCATGGGGCACTGTATGAGTGCATTTTATTCATTTAAATCATTCAAATGTGCAAAAATAAAAAAGCAAAATGATTTCTAGTAAGTCTTCACCAGCTTCCAGAATCTGATACAGTAACCATCTCTGGTCTGGGATACCCAGCCGTATTCCTACCTGTTCAAGAATGGCTTAGCCTGCTTGCACATACAATGTAATTCCCCATTAATAATAATGGCAGCCGTTTGACTGTTATATGGGACTAAACACTGCGTATAAATTTAAAAACCACACTATGCTTCCTGGTGGTGTTTTAGTGCTTTTCTTCAGATGTGAGAAACATAGTGATCTACGGTGTAATGCAAAGTAGACCCCCCCACCCCCCCTCCCATTTCTCCCTCTCTCAAAGAAAAACATATTGATTCATGGATAGTCTTAGAATTGTATTCTTCTCCACAGACAGACGATCCTTTTTATAAGCTTTTTGGAACATCGTTGTAGTCCTCAGTGGTAAATAAAATCACTTTTCCCTTATTTGGAGACCGAAAAACCTATTTTTTTGTGATATTATTTGGGTTAATTAAGTCCTTTCTCATCACACCCAATAGTGAGATTGCCACCATTGTGTTTATTACTATTCTGTCTTTTTTTTTTTAATATTAAAGCTTAAAGGTATATTGTTACTCTTAGTAAACTGCTCTGACTCCACTATTCTGTCTGCTTGTTCTTGAATACCGGTTTTAAACAGTATTATTTTTTTTTTAAACCCCGATAATACGCAGATTTCTATGACTGGTTTGGGTTTATTGTTTTTTTTTTTTTTTTTAGATTATTAGTTTAAAAATATACACGTTTGGCCGTGCTTGTGCAATTATATGATCATATTGCAATCATCAGAATGGTACGTTCATTTTATATTTAGATTCAGAAACATTTGGCCATCAAGACTTTGTTAGGGTTCCACTCCATTACCATATCTGAGGTTGATGGAAGCTTAAACCGCACATGATGACCAACTATGTTCACATTTACCGATCTCCGTGTTTTTATTTCATCCCAGTACGCAATGGTCCAGAAAGTGGCAGTAAAGTCATGGTACAGTTTCCAAGATGTCAGTCCAAAGAGCTTCCCAAGGGTGATGTGTTACAAGATAACAAATGGAATTATCTCCGTGGGCCGTTCAAAGAAGTTCAGTGGAACAAGATGGAAGGTCGGAACTTTGTATACAAAATGGAATTACTAATGGCAGCACTGACACCTTGCTAAAGAGAATTTCAATATGTACATAAAAGGACATTTTACTTTGATATCTTTTGAATGCAAGCAACAATCGAACATGTAGTGTTTCATTGAAATAAATGTGTGGGTTTGTTTTCTACTTTTTCATTTGTCTGCTTTGTTTTATTAGAATAAAGGTGTATTATTGATAGTTTGTGACATGAAATGCAATGTAATTCCACGATTTTCTTTAAACGTCTCATTAACTTTAAGTTACATAAGCAGTTTTAGATTTTTAAAAATTTTTTTTTTTTTATATAGATTTGGTATATTTACATACATTGTTCCATGTCCGTTCTTCGTTTTTTTTGCAAACGTTCTGAGATCTAAAGATATTATTTATGTTTAAACTTTTTAATGTACTGTGGTGTCCATGTAGTAGATTTATCAAAGTTTCGAATGGCACGTTTACTTTACATTTTTGACTCAGTTTATTAACTCTTGCTGGTAAATTTATCTGTTGTCTTCTTGATGACAACACAATGGATTTATGAATCTTTCCACCACTGTTTCTTTTTTTTTTTTTTTTTTATAATTTTTTATTTATTCCAAGGCAGTACATTACATTGAAAACATAATGCATCATAACATTACAATATATTGTTACATTGTGTATGACAGTATTCTATCGTATTTTCAATGACAGTAGGCCAACACTCCTTTCAAACCGTTACTTAACCATTGTAACATGGAGTGCGTCTATTATACAGTACGTCGCTGTTTCCCTGTCCGCCCCGGTAAATTTTTAATTTATAAGGAAAAGTACAATAAACATAAAGAGGCTGAGGTTACCATACAAACATTTATTTTATCGATAGGACATGCCCTATCCGTTCCTATGCGGTCATGTACGGATCCTATAGATCCTTTTCGTGAGCTCATTCGAATTTCTATCCGTTTGCTCCTGTTATCACCTGTCCACATCCTTTAGCGATGCAAATTATTTACATATTGTATGGAAATGTTAGATCAGTTTTGAAGAGTTCTCACAGAAAAAAAGCGAGGAAAAGAGGGGTAAGTATGAAGATAGGAAGTGGGAGTATGGGGAGGGGGAATGGGAGGGGAGCGCGGGGGAATCCATGCCAACCTACATCTATCCGATCCAAGCCCGTCCAAGGGAGTCTCTCGTGTGTCCATCAAGCACTTGCTGCGCTAGCTACCCAAGGGCCCCAAATTTTTTAAAACTTTTTCGTTGTATCCCTAACCCGGGCTGTTAGGTCATCCATCAGATAATTATCTTTAATTTTCCGAATCACCGCAGTGATTTCTGGGGCCTCTCTTTGCAGCCATACCTGTGCCAAAGCTCTCCTAGCAGCTATATTCACCTTATGCAATAGGGTCAGTTCTGTTTTTGTCCAGTTTTCTATAGATCTGGCTAGTAAGAATACCCATGGATCTAGCTTAACCTCCCTCTCAAATATTTCTCGCAGCAACTGCACAATTTGTTGCCAATAAACTTGTGTAATAGGGCATTCCCACCACATGTGAAGATATGTGCCCTTGAGGCCGCACCCCGGCCAGCATAGGTCTGTAGTAATTTGATTCATACGGCTCAACTTTACCGGTGTAGCATACCATCGAAATAGCGTAGTCCTCTATGCAGCGAGACACACATAGAGGACTGCGCGTCTCTCCCATATTTCTTGCCATTCCACTCCCTTCAACGTCTCTCCTAATTCTGCCTCCCCGTGGTCTATGTATGTAGTTCCTCCCCATTCTAATGTGTTGTTGCACAAATGTGAGTATAGAAGTGAAATCAATCCGCTTGGGAACTGTTCCTTTGCGCACATCCTTTCAAAGAATGTCATCTGTGCCTCTGCGGCTTTTTTAACCTGAAGGGCTTGGGCAGTGTCTCTAATCTGGAGATATCTAAAAAAGTCAAAGGGTAGCAGAGAAGTTCTAGTTTGCAGGTCCTCAAACGTCACAAACGACCCCCCCTCGAACAACTGGTGTAATCTTTGCAACCCTCTGTGTTCTATGCCTCTGAAATCCCAGGCTGTCATTCCTGGTAGTCCACCACTGTTTCTAACAGTCAAGTGTTCTGTTTCAATGTTTGTTTTCCTCCATTCTATATTTACCATTCTTCTAAAATAGAAATTCTGGGAAAACCCACAAACCTGTCTTACATCAGAATATAAAATGAATGGTTTTATACATATATATGCATTAAGGCGGCTCCTCTCAGAGACTTATTGGACGACTATATATTTAAAAAATAGTGAATAGATGTACAAAAAATTTGTAATTTTATTAAAATCAATCAAAATATATAAAACATTTTATATATCAGTACCATTCTGGTAGAGCTACAGATCTCACGCAAAAACACATATAACAAGAATACATATTATAGGACATACATAAATACAAAGGGAGTAGAATAAAAAGAAACCACAAATAGTATATCAACAGTCCAAAGTCCATTTAGATAAAGTAATTCTGCTACCTATCGAAGGTAAATCTTCAATATGACGGTATAGTTTGTCATATTTACTATTTTTAATTTGTACTTGAAATCTGTATCCTTACCAGAACTGTACTAAACTACTATAATTTTTATTTCAATAAATTTGCCAAGTAAATGTTAAAATTTTCACATTTCATTATCACTTTTAGAACACGTCACAACATACAATCCGTTAATGAATGTCACTGAACGTAACGGTAACTTTTCCGAAAACTTTGGTACATCTGCCTCTGATGTGTTTGAAAAGAATATTTGAAAAACTGTGTGGCGACTTTAGGAATCCAACAGTACGATCGAAACACTTTGATGTGTTCTTTACAGATGTCGAATGCTAAGGCCTTAACAATTTTACAATGCTCCTTTGTCATTGTTTTTGTTTTTTTAACCTGGAGCATTTTTCAGACAGTTTAAAAGTACAATCTTCTAAAGCAAATGCATTTAACCTTACCCACACAGTTTTGGATCTTGGCACAAACACTGTCCTAATCTATGTAGGATATTTGTAGGACATATCCTAGGTTATCATTGAAAGGAAGACCGTTAACAGCACATTTCTGGTTTCACCCAATCAATCCCACAACACTGTTTTAGTGCAAGAAAATAAAAATTTTGCAAAATAGTGTGGTGAAATGACATTGGTAAAGATGTGAGTTGTCTTGGATTTTTTTAAATTTTTTTATATATTCTTTATTTTTGCAATGCATAGTATAACAAACAGGTTTGCAGAGACATGCCATGATAGTATACATGACAATAATAGATTGTAGTTGGAAAATAAAGTTTCAGGATTACGGCACTTTTTATAATTAATGTAAAGATGCATCAGATGCACAATTCTATTTAAAAACAAACGGGGAAAAAAACCTGAAAGAGATACTAAGGCTTTAGCATAGAACTGTAGATAGATAGCTACATGAGACGATACCACTGGGTGAGTAACATTAACCAATACAGATAATCTGTTAGAGTCCCTTAATAGAGTGAGTATTAAGAACCTATAACCTAAACATAAATAACTTGATAATGCACAGTACTGGCCCATAATGAGATGAGATATAAACAAATTAGAGAAAATGTCATAGGGCATTAACTACATACGAAAGACAAGATAAGAATCATAAACTACAGGCCTAGGAATACAGCCTATCTCCTACAGATTGTGCCGAGGCACAATGGCGGGAAGTGAATGGTAACAGCCGTGGCCTCCGCCTTCCTCTCTTCACCTTCAGGATGCGACCGCTATGTGCCCCTTGTGTCTGCGCCTGTGCCTCTGGCTTTGCAAAGTCCCGTGCTGGCCGCGTTGGCAAAATCCCACCACGTGGCGATAATCCACAAACCGGACCCGGGAGATTTCGCCTGGGCTTATAGGAGTGGTGAGTATGCAGCTACGCCCAAAACTGGGCACAAAGCCTGTCAAAGGCTTGCAGGAACGGAGCAGCATAGGTAGTTGGCTGGGAAAGGACTGTGCAGTCTGCGACACCATTGCCGTCTTGAGCAGTAGGCCACATCCTCATCCACTATATATCTATTTCAGGACAAGACATCCATAAAAGTTATGAATGATGACACTGAGTGGTTGGCATTTCCAGCAAACCTCAGATATAAATGTACGACGTGCAGTGCAGTGTATTTTTTAGACAAAGCTTCCTAAATTGTAGACACGTCAGACTCATTCACAGGTTCAATTCCTGCCAATGTCTTCTCAGCCTTTCATTGTTCTAAGTCAGATAAAAGGATAAAAGGAATACCATTAAGTTGGATAATATAATCTAAACTCCAGAATGAATATTAATGACCATCTTTCCTGGTTAACTACTTTTGATAGTAGTAGTAGTAGAATGGATTTTGTCCAGATTGTGATGGAGAATGTTTCTGGATGGTAAACGTAATTAGGGTTGACTTATTTTACGTAGATTATCTTGGCTTTGACAAACTAAATAGAAAAGTCACCTTCGCTCTATCCCAAAACCAAATGTAAATTTTTAAAGGACAGGTTTTTCATACCATTGTGTAACCATGAAATGCAAGCTCACCTGCCAACATTCCTACGCCATAGCATCATATCTTCTTAATTTTGAGAAACTGCAATGTTTACATTGCAAGGTTAAGTCCACCTCTAGCGGCTGTCAGTCAAACTTGGTCATGTGACGCGTAAGTCTCATAGGAAAGCATTGATACATATTTCCTACGTGAAAGTTTAAAATGCGTGTTTGGTGCTCGCTGCACAAGCACATTAGGTCCCCAATGCTCCTCTATGTTCCTAATGGTAACTCAATGGCAATTGATTGAGGGAGGTTGTGATTTTCGATGGGGTGTAGAAAACAGCACAGGGAGTATCGCCCAGCCCTGGAGTGCAGGTAAGTTCATACTTTGTTTTCTAGCATTACAACGTAGGGACCTAAATACATGCATTCTACATTAAAATAATTAAAAAGGGTTGGGGTAATCATTTTTTCTTCCATATAGAGGCATTTTCACTAAGTCACTTGCAATTGAAGCAAAAAAAAAAAAAAAAGCACATAGAGAAATTCAAGCTACAATAGCCAGGCTGTAATTATAGCTGATTTTGGGAACTTTTTGAATCAGCGCTTTTTGAATGTGTTACCATTTTAATTTCAATTTGCTACATTTCAGATGTTTAAGAATACGGTTATGGTGAACTGGAGTTGAAAATAGTTGGTTTGAAGAAGAAATTAATGACTGTATAATTACTAAGCAGAGTTGTGGTGTGCTTGACAACCACTTTCCTAAGTTTAAACCAAAGCATTCAAATTTTCCAACTCTTTTGTTATTTCATGATTTAGTAAATAAACACCATGTTTGACCTGCCTAAGACCTGTCAAAATACAGCACCTTGAGTGTAATGATTTGCCCTTAGTAAAAACTGATCATTAACCTTAATTACCCTATGTTCATGTACAGACAGTAAATTACAGATTGTTGCCTCTGACAGCTGGTATTTAGAATGACAGAGTCAATGCTTGTTAGAAAGAGATAATATCCCAACCTTAACCAATTCATCCTAATAACCAGTTCATTTACACGAGCACCAAGAAGTAAAATAAAGTCTTAAATTTGTGAATAAAATTGGAGATTTCATCGGAACAATATGGACAAGAAACAGCTGAACTATGTGTTTGATCTATTCAGTTCATGGTTCCCTCAAGTACTTAAAAACTGCTTAACAACAAAATAATTAGATATGAACACAGCCACCAAGAAATATCTCCCAAACATATACTAACTAAACACAACATAAATATATAGGTCACAGATTGTATCAACGGAACAATCACCAGTAATATATACACTGATCAGCCACAACAGTAAAACCACCTGCCTAATATCGTGTACACAGCTCTGATTCATCAAGGCATGGATTCCACTGAACGTGTCCTCTGGTATCTGACACCAAGAAATTAGCAGCAGATCCTTTAAGTTCTGCAAGTTGAGCGTTGGGGCATCCATGGGTCGGATTTGTTGTTCTATCACATCCCACAGATGATCAATCGGATTGAGATCTGGGGAATTTGGAGACCAAGGATACACTTTAAACTCTTTGACATGTTCCTCAAACCATTCCTAAACACATTTTGCTGAAAGAGGCTACTGCCATCAATGAACACCATTGCCATAAAGGGGCAACACTTCCTCCCAGCTTCATACAGAGCGAGTCGTGTCGGAGGGAGGAGGCACATGCAGCATGGGGAAAGAGAGGCAGGAGTGAACTGCAGCAGACTCACACACTCACTCCCATCAGCCTCAGCCAGCACCCCAACAAGCTACCCTCTTGGTCACAAAAGGTAAGCTAACAGGAGGGTGGCTGCAAATATAAAAAATATGACATGTATTTGTTTATGTATGTCAGATTTTGTGTGTGTTTCTGTGTCAGTTTGTGTGTGTATGTGTGTATATATGTCAGGGTGTGCATCTGTGTGTGTAAGTGTGTATCTTTGTGCCAGAGTGTGTGCATGTGCCAGTGTGTATATGAATGTGTGTATGTGTCAGTGTGTTTATATGTGTGTATCTGTATGTTAATGTGTATGTACAGGGGATACTCGAAAAATTAGAATATCCTGCAAAAGTTAATTTATTTCAGTAATGCAACGTAAAAGGGGAAACTAATATATGAGATAGACACATTACATGCAAAGCAAGATAGTTCAAGCCATGATTTGTCATAAGTGCGATGATTATGCCTTACAGCTCATGAAAACCCCAAATCCACAATCTCAGTAAATTAGAATATTG